TCCTTCCTTCTCTCCCTCCTTCCCTCCTTCCTTCTCTCCCTCCTTCCTTCCTTCCTTCTCTCCATCTCTCTCTCTCTCTTCCCTTTCACCATAGCCCTTACTCAAATTCCACTGCTGTGTGTTTACACTAAAAAAATCAGGGACTAACACACCAATTTCCAGGCCGAGTCTGTAATTTACTAATAAAACTTTGTGCATTTTGCAGACCCTCTGACCTTCATCATTTCTGTCGACTATGATCATCTACGAATTTTGGGTGCTCCCTTCCCCTTAGGGGTGGGACACCACAGTACTAATCTTTAACCATCATTTGCCTGCACCTTTTTTCCTTCACCCACCACAGACCCTGGTGCCTTCTCCTTGCTTTCTGCTGTGAGTTTGAAGGGAAAGAAGAGCCACAGGGCTGAGGAAGGGGAAGAAAAAAAGAGCAGGAAAGTCATGTGTCCGTGAACGTGACCTCTTCTTACACGGTGTGGTGAGACACTAGTGCTATGAAATGAAATAACTTGTCGTGGATCAGTAACTGGTAAACATACAGGTAACAAAAAACTAGGAATAAATGGTTAACTGCTGAGTACAAAAGCATTTATAGTATTGACAATGTGACTGCAGAAGGTGGTGGGCTGCAAGTCAGGCAATGCCCTTCAGGAAGCATCTTGTGCCCAGTAGGTCCAAGTGGCAAAGAACTGGGGGTTTCCCACAGATGGAGCTGGAATTCCTAAACCCCTGCTAGGCACCCGTGTCGGGGGGCACAGCATGAGGGGGTCAGCACCCATGAGCCCCCACAAGCCCTGCGAGTTCCCCGCATGGGGCCACTTGTCTCCTCTTACCTCCAGGGTGAGAACGGTGGAGACTCTCCCATGACTCCCCCTAAACCCTTCATGTCCCCTCTGCCCCTCGAGGTGAGAGTTCTGGGGACCCCTCGTGAACCCCCCAAACCCTGCATGTCCCAAAAATCCCCTCGGGGTGTCAGTGCTGGGGACCCCCGTTAACCCCCCAAACCCCTGCATGTCCCCTCCACCCCTCGGGGTGAGAGCTGTGACACCCCCCAAACCCCCTCCACATGTCCCCAAAATCCCTTGGGGCACCAGCGCTGGGTCCCCCCGTGATCCCCCAGACCCCCCTCATGTCCCCAGAATCCCCCGGGGTTCAGCCCTGGGGACCCCCCGTGACCCCCCAAACCCCGGCATGTCCCCAAAATCCCTTGGGGCACCAGCTCTTGGTCTCCCCGTGATCTCCCAGCCCTCCCTCATGTCCCCAAAATCCCTCGGGGTTCCGCCCTGAGGACCCCCCGTGACCCCCCAAACCCCGGCACGTCCCCAAAATCCCTTGGGGTACCAGAGCCGGGTCCTCCCGTGACCGCGCAAACCCCCCGTATGTCCCTTCTGCCCCTCGGGGTGAGAGCACTGGGGTCTCCCCGTGTCCCCCCAAACCCTCTTACGTCCCCAAAATCCGCCGGGGTACCAGCGCTGGGGTCCCCCCGTGACCCCCCCCGAGCCCCCCGCGGGTTCCCCACGGGGGGCGTGGCCTCCCATTCATGCCTCGCGTGACGTCAGAGAAGGCGTGACCAATGGGAGCGGCGCTGGGGCCCGGCCCCGCCCCATCGTGCCACGAGCACCGCCCCGCGCGGCCCCTTAAAGCGCCGCCGCCGCCACCGCGCGTCCGTCCGTCCGTCCGTGCCTTCTTCCATCCTCCCACCCCTCCGTCCGTCCGTCCGTCCGTCCTTCCGAGCCATGAGGAGGCTCGTCCTCCTGCTGTGCACCGGCGTGACCTGTTGCATCGCGGCGCGGGGCGCGGAGGCGGGAGGTGGGTGAGCGCGGTCCCACGCGGGACCGGGGGGGGAGCGGCGGAGCGGGCTCTGCCCCGCCGGGGCGGGCGGGTTCGGGGGCGCTTTGCTGACACCCTTCTGTCCCCGCTGGGCTCGCAGATGGCAGCGCGGAGAGTGTGCCGGCGCCGAAGCCGCGGGTGAGGTTCGGGGTGCGCTCGTCGCCGGGCGCCGATGAGGATGGGTGCGCGATCGCCGTCGGCCAGCACCAGTGGCTGGAGGACTGCAAGTTCAACGTGACAGCCAAAACCTTCTTCATCATTCACGGCTGGACAGTAAGTACGGAGGACCCCGGGCAATGCTCAGTCTGTCTGCTCAGAGCGAGCAAACTGCCCTGCACACGAGCTGTGTCTCCAGAGTATTTCTGTTCTGGAATTTCTGTGGCTGCCCTGTCCCTGAAAGTGTCCCATGCCAGGCTGGATGGTGCTTTGAACAACCTGATCTAGTGGAAGGTGCCCAAGGCAGGGGAGTTGGAACTAAATGATCTTAAAGGTCCCTTCCAACCCAAACTTTTCTAGAATTCTATGAATATGTGAGAATTGTGAAAACTTTTCATGTTTCAAGCACTGTGGTCTCTGCACTTGAGGTCTCTGAAACAAAGCAATGTGGGTCAGGCTTAAGAACTCTGTGAAATCACCCAACTCATTCATAACTGCACAAGATCACTTCATAGCTGTATAACGTGAATGTGGCAAAGGGAACTTGGGATTTTTCCCTACAGTCCAACTAACTGACCACTATGAATGCAACACTTGACTTGACACGTGCTTAGACTTTCTATAATCGTAGCTGGGTACCCACAGCCCTGACGTCTGATAAAGGAACAAGAGGGCACACAGCCTTTATCAAACTTTTTTTTCTGCTATTCATGTGGACAAGTGCGTGCCACGAGGGGACTTATCAGCTCTGCCAGGGCTTATGCAAACAGCAGTGCCAAGACTGGGGAATAATTTTACAGCCCATCAGAATTTCTGGAAGTCTTGAGAAAAAGAGCGATAAGGTGCCACGTAACGAATGCTTCTCCCTCCTGCCTTAAAAGGCAGGTGGCTAATTACAGCCAGAGTCTCTCAAAACCTGTTTTTCTTACTCCATTAGTGCAGTGCTGAGAAGTAGTGGGGCTTGCAGAGGAGCAGCATGCAGCTGGAGCAGAATATGTAAATGATATACAAATAACTTAACTGTGAATGCGTCATCTTGGTCCTGCAAGCTGGAAACTAACACCTGAATCTCTCTCTAGATGAGTGGCATGTTCGAAACCTGGCTGGACAGCTTGGTGTCTGCTCTTCAGGAGAGGGAGAAGGATGCCAACGTGGTGGTGGTGGATTGGCTTTCTCTTGCCCACCAGCTCTACACCGATGCCGTGAACAACACGCGGGTTGTTGGAAAAACCATAGCAAGGCTGCTTGACTGGTTACAGGTAACATGAGTGGAGAGCAGCCTCTGTTGTAATGCTCCATGAGGGACTGTTGCACAAGGGGGAGCCTTCCCCAGCTCCAGGGTGCACCAGTGGGGCAGGCTCTGGTGTAATCCCCACCCCAGGGCTTGGCGGGGTGCTGGCTCATAGCTGAGGTGCTGCACTCAGCGCGTGCAAGTGATACCCTGCTTTCCTGGGAGATACTGCCTCGCAGGTGCTCGGATCAGTGATGCTCAAGTGGATTTCAGGTTTGGAAGTCCTGCCTGAGCAATGTGAACCTGGGGAGTTGGGCATTCAAAGTCGGTGCTGGCTTGGCAAGAGGGTGGGAAAGGAGAAGGAAAGGCCCACGGTGCTGCGCTTGGCGCCTGAGGCCACAGCCAGTGCTGAGGTCTGGTGGCAGCTCCCTGGGGGAAGGCTGCTCCAGATGCTGCCTGAACAAAGGATGTAATAATTCGGGTTGGAACATGGGTAAGCCACAAGTACCATCCAGACCATCCTGCTTGCCTTGATGAAATACAGAACGAAACATGCTTGTCTGCCCCCTCCCTCCAATCTCTTCTTGGAGCTGGACTTTATAGTCATGCAGACAGGACCAGCGCCACATGCCCTGAAAGGCAGGGGGTCAAATGACCATATCTTCTTTTTCCTTGCAGGAAGACCCGCTCTTCCAGCTTGAGAATGTGCACCTGATTGGGTACAGCCTGGGTGCCCACGTGGCTGGCTTTGCTGGAAACCACGTCCATGGGACTATAGGCAGAATTACAGGCAAGTGCCTTTTTAAGCAGTCTCTTACCTTTCCTTTGTGGCAGTCAGTTTCCCCGAAGAGGCTCGTTTCCTGTGTTGCTGCAATGTTGTTTTGGCCTTATTCTTTCGGAAATTACAAGTTTCCTACCTGTGGCAGCAGTGGGAAGCACAGGTCTCTTCACATTAAAGATATAGCAGGGGTTCGATAAAAAAACCTCACTGAGGACAACCTGATCTTGAGTTTACTTGGAGTTATGTGTGGGTTCAAAACAAGTCCTGCTCAAACTCTTGCTGTCCAAATCCTGTGCCTTTGAGTGATACTGTTTTTGTAATTGTAGCTCATAAGCTAATGGAAGTGAGAGCTTCTGAGTGCTGTTTGTACCACAGGATGTCTGAATAAATATTAAGAAATCACACAACTCGAACCCCTCATTCTGAAACTAATGGAAGAGTTTGCTTCCAGCTCCAGGGGAAAGCTGATTTCTACAACTTAGAGCATAGTGCAAGGGATTGAATTAAGCATTTAAATGTTACAATGGCAGTAAGAATTCCACAAAGCCTAGCAATTACTATCTGTATTCAGTTAATCAGGAAAAAAAATCACCTAACAGTCAAGTTGGAGAACAGTTCAAGAGTGCAGCTTCAGGTTGGGGGGTGAGGCTCAGGGGTTAACAGAGCATCCCAAACCCATCATGGGATCTCAGAGGCAGGGATTACCTGGCTGCTGCTTAAATTGTGTTAGTCCCTCCAAATGTCCAGTCTGAAAACAGCCTAAATATCTCTGAGACAGCTTTGTCTGCCAGCGGTCCCTGGGGTGCTAGACCTTGGAGCTGCCTCTTGAAGTACCTCTTCACTGTGACCTGGCAAAAGCTCTTTGCTTCTAACAGGCAGTCTGAAGCCATCTTGGTGCTACTATTGGGTTGCATTGCCCCAAAAGTGCTGTGAAGCACTTGTTTGTTCCCTCAGTGAGCCTGCGGTGAAGAGATCTTTGGGGACAGTACCAGCAATGGGGCTGGGACTGGCTGTGCATCACCTGGTGAGGAGAGCTATATTCTATATGAAATAACCCAGTTTTTCACCTGGCATCTTGTCTCTGACTCCAGGCTTGGATCCAGCTGGCCCCATGTTTGAAGGAGTGGATCCCAGCAGGCGCCTCTCCCCCGATGATGCCAACTTTGTGGATGTCCTTCACACCTACACGAGGGAAACACTAGGTGTTAGCATTGGGATCCAGATGCCTGTAGGCCACGTTGACATCTACCCCAATGGGGGAGACTTCCAGCCCGGCTGTGGTCTGAGTGATGTCTTGGGAGCCATTGCTTATGGAAGTAAGTTCTCATTACATATTTTGCCTCTGGTCAGTGTAGACTCCTCACAAACAGACTTGGGTTGATGGTGGGGGATGATGTGTTTTACGAAAGGAGAGAAAACCATTTTTTCCTTCTAAACTCTCTGTAGTACTGGAGATAGTTGCTAGAAACGACACATGGTTTTATTCTGAAGTAGCACGTTCTCGCTGCAACACCTGATCGCAAAATCTTCTTATGTTGGGACTAGAGTCCTCTTAAAGCTCCCTTCACGGCAGGGACTAAGTGGGCAGTCTCCAAGCATCTTCCACTAACCTCTTGAATTGTTACTGTTTGAAACATTTGGCCATGGTCAGCTCATGTTGGGCTACCAAAGAGTCTTAGCTCACTTCACCTTACTGGCTGCTGGGGGGTGACAAATGCTTAAACTGAGCATATCCCTCATGACTCTGCTTCCCCAGCAATCGGTGAGGTGGTCAAGTGCGAGCACGAGCGGTCTGTGCACCTCTTCGTGGACTCCCTGGTGAACCAGGACAAGCAGAGCTTCGCCTTCCAGTGCACCGACTCCAGCCGCTTCAAGAAGGGCATCTGCCTGAGCTGCCGCAAGAACCGCTGCAACGGCATCGGCTACAACGCCCGGAGGTTACGGCACAAGAGGAACAGCAAGATGTACCTGAAAACAAGGGCTGACATGCCCTTCAAAGGTATGTTTTCCCTCTCAGGAAGAGTGTGGTCTCACCTGTAGGAGCAGCCTCCCAAAGCCAGCGCTGGGCAGGATGTAGAGGTGGGGGAGCAGCATCGCCTCGAAGCTGGGCAGCTCCAGGCGTTAATGTTCTGCTGTTACCTGGCTGCACTGTCCTGTGGCATTGCTGGGCTCCTTCCTCTGTGTAAAAGCAACATGACCTGGCCACCAGGGCACTCTGCCTTTTGAGCAGGATTAAAGTTTAAAAGTCATACATGAGCAAGGCTCAACCTTAGAGCAGTGTAAGGTCTGGGCAGCCTTCCCCAGAGTGGACCTTCTGCTGCTGTTGTGTAAAAGTCTAATTTGTAATCAGTAAGGGCAGAAAAAAGTCATCAATGCTGTCTCAATAAAGGATGGGTCTGGCTTTTGTCCACCAGCAACGTTTCACATGGATCAATGCTGAGCAATGTTGTCTCTCAAACTCGGTTCCATCTCTGCTCTCCCCTTTCTCCCCAGTCTACCACTATCAGATGAAAATGCACGTCTTCAGCTACAAGAGCTTGGGAGAGGTTGATCCCACTTTCTTCGTCACCCTCCATGGCACCAATGGAGAATCTGAACCCCTGTCTTTAGAAGTGTAAGTAAGCTGCCCTGTTGTGTTTGACTAAGTAAGAAGGCCACAGGGACTAGACGGGGTGGCAGCATTCTTTTTCCTCTTCTAACACTATCGTTGCACCCCAGCCTAGCAGCCTCACTTCATCACCATTCAAAAAAGCTTTTCATCCACTAAGTTAGTTATAATTTTTGGCTGAGAAAACAATTTGATGTGCCCAGTCCTCTACACGTTAGCCTTCACAGCTCCTTGCTGGAGTACTTCCTCTTGCTTTTCCCCTCTACCATTTGGATATAGCCTGAAAGCACCCACGTCTCTGGAGGCATTGCTGACCTCCTTTAGCCTCTCCCAGGAGAAAGACAAGGCATAAAATCCACCTCTAAGCTATGGAAGTATGGCTTGAGCTAAATGCATGATGCGTTGTATTGAACCAGCTATCTGAGCTCACTTTCTTTAGTGTAATCAACAATTAACTGGTGACGGTTGAACATGCAACCCTTGATAAGCTGCACGGGGCTCTGTTTAACCTCTTAACGTGGAACGAAGGAGCACCTGGCACGCTTCCATAAGGAAGAAATGCTGAGTCTCTCCCTTTCTTTCAGGCTTGATGAAATCGGCCTGAACGCCACGAACACCTTCCTGGTCTACACCGAGGAGGACATGGGTGAGCTTTTGAAAATAAAGCTCACCTGGGAGGGGACATCTCAGTCATGGTATGATCTATGGAAAGAGCTGAGGAGCTACTGGTATCGGCCTGTGAATTCTACCCAGGAGCTGCATATCAGACGAATACGTGTGAAATCTGGGGAGACACAACAGAGGTAATAACTGTGCTTGGCTGCACGTGAACTGACTCAAAACTTCAGCCAAAAGGAGAAATATTCAGGACCTAGCAAAAAAAAGTTGGTGTTCTGAACCAAGTTGGTATCTTGAGCTGCCTCTCATTTTTAGTGTCACCACTCCTTCGAGGTGTGGGAGAGCAGGTCACTGGCCAGCACCAGGTGGCAAACTAAGCTTTATGCAAAACCAGTCACTGCAGATCAGATCTGGGATGTTCTTTTGCTTTATTTAGATACTGTGACGTCCCCTGGGGACTGAATTAGCCTCCTTCAAGGTGGTTTAGATGATACTTGAAGGGATAAAATACTAAGCATTGAAAATACAGAAACATGAGTGGTCGTGGCTATTATTTGCAGGTATAATGATTTGGCAGAGCAAGCTAGACCTGAATCTGCAACCAGTAACATGGTGCCATCAACCCCTTAAGTACTATATTGCTCCTTCTGAGGTCTGATAGGGGAATTGGAATTAGATGATCTTTAGGGTCGCTCTCAACCCCAATCCATATCCTTAGATCATTGGCCATAGAATTCTAGTGGAAGATTCCCTGCCATGATAGAGGGTTGGAGCTGGATGATCTGTAAGGTCTCATCCCACCCAAATCATTCTCTGATCCTATGATTCTGTTTGCAATTGGAAAACTACCTGAGCATCCAAAAAGTATTAAATCTGTCAAGCATGTAGCACTGCTCTCCCACATCACTTGTTAAGGTTGTTCTGAAGGTAACCCAGATCTGTCAAAGGGCAGCAGTTGACACTGACAAGTTTCCACATTTCTCAGAACTTTAAATAGGCATCACCTATCATCTGAAAGGTATTGTGCATGCTGGTTTCTACACTCCATGAAACATAGGGGTAGAAGCAAAGTAAAAGCAAAGATCCCCAAATAAATTCTGAAATAGGAAATAAAAACCCGTTCAAAATGCTAATGGTGTGTCAAGATGCTCTGTGGGATGCATGTTAAATCAAACATCCCACAGAGATGTCTTAGAACTGGCTGCAACCCACATTACTTGTTATTTGTTAGTCATGGAGACAACAGTTCACCTTCTCTTGGCTTCTGATTCCTCCTTGTAGGTTTGCTTTCTGCGTGGAGGATTCCCAGCTAACCAGTATAACTCCTGGCAAAGAGCTCTGGTTTGTGAAATGCACAGAGGAGTGGCGAAAAAGGTATGGAAATCAACTAAGAGAAATTCTGTCTGATGCATGTGGCTGTGCTGGGATGAGTGGAGCCTTTTGGTTTTTTTCGCTCCTGGAACCTGTTTTTATTTCAAAAAGGTTAATAAATTCTAGCCCAGGACTCACAGCTATTAGATTTAATTTTAATGTATGCCGCAACTGTTGCTAACTAGGTGATATTACCCTCCCTCCTGACCTTGGATTGTCACCTTGTACCTTTACATGTTTACTGCCAAATGGGTGCAGCAAAATCCTTGGTCCTAATTGCGGTAGAGGCTAAAATGAGGTTCTGCCAGTCCCCAAGATCTGTGTAATAGTGGGAACTTGAGTAGAGGTATCTATTAACTGCCCTGTAAAACAGGGGAAAGCTGGGAGGAGTGCAGGAAATTGCCTCAAAGATTGTTTCAGCCTGGTGGAAGACCTTGAGCTGCCGAGAAATCCCTTGATTAAAGTTTGAGGTCAAGTGCATGAGCAGGACAGAGCTGAGGATCTGCCATGGTGTTACAGCAGTGACTCCTACGGCCTCATCTGCAGCCACGCTGATCTCCTCAGGTTCAGGAGGGTGCAAACTCTGCCACTGACGAAGCATCTCAGCCCTGCTTAACCTTTTGGGGGACTTCCAGGCACCTGGATCGGTCCTCAGAGCATGACTTCCAGAAAGTCTGGTCCCAGCAGTGACAACTTGACTGCCTCAGATGCCTCTGGTCATTGAATGAATGAAGCCCTGTTCATTTGTCTCAATGATAGTCTCCCTTGGATGAAGCCCAGCCTTTTGCCCTCTCCTAAAATTTCAGTTTGCAAACTTAGAGCTTTGTCACTTCCAATCCACAGGACAAAGTGCTTGTTAGGACTAGCAAAGCCCTGTGGAAGTCAAGCTTTGCACAACCCTCCTGGGCAGCAGAGCTCGGCTCAGAAGTGTGAGCTGGTCCCATTCCAGGACCAGTTTTTGGCAGAAACCAGCAAGCTGTGCTACAGACAGTAGCAAACCAATCTGTGAATGAAACCCCTGTGCAAAAACTTGCTGCTCTGCCACAAGTCCTGAAAGATCAAGTAAACATTCCTGCAGGTACAATAAAAGGCTGTTTCGATATGCTACTCGGTAACCCCCATAAAACAGAATTGCTGGCAGATGTGCCCTGCCTGCTTGCTCCTGGAGTGCAGCTTGTGCACGAGGCAGAGGGGCTGAGCTCAGCTCCAGCACACCACTTTTTTTTCCTAGGAAATGGTCAATCCTCCCAGAAATGACAAGCGATTACTTGCTGTTCAGCTCTCAGTTTCTGCCAAGTCAGTGGAATATTATAGTTCCCTGCTTGGAGACTGAGACTTGCAAACATCTGTCCTCTCCGAATGGAGCTGCACAGGCAGAGTCTAGCTCAAGCCCTGTAATTTCTGTTTGCAGCCTGCATAATGTCTGCTTGAGGCTCTCACTGAGTAGCTACTGGGTGAAATGTGGCTTCGACAGAATAAAATACCAGCCTGTACTGTCCAAACCTGTTCTTAGCACCCCAGAGGTTCTTAGAAATTCTTTGTTATTCCTATTAACTTCTGCATTTAACTAGGGGTTTTTTTCCCCTCTCTGCTTTTTCCCAGATCTGTCTCAAATCTGCTCTGAAGACTTCCCTAAAGACTCACAGCCAAGCAACCTGGATGCATGAAGACCACGCAGGTGGCAAGATGCTCTGGGAAAAAAAATCCGGCTTAGTAGCACTTAAAACAACTAGCTCTTCTGGAAAAAACAGCTTGGATCGGATGCAAGAAACTGAGGAGCAATTGATGGACCTTGGTCCTAGACCTAGAATAACTAAAACTCCATCCTCCCTTTCCCAAGGAGCCTGGTTTGTGTATTTAACCTTACCTTGACCTGTTGCACGCTGCATTTTTCCTGCCCTGCTCCTATTAACCGGGACTATGCATGAGATCTTCACACACTCAGACCTCAGCAATGATCTTCTGGTCTGCCTGCCAGCGGAGTTGAGAGGATAAATAACCACGCTAACTGCCCACCGGGCTGTGGGTGACAGAGCTGCTGAGAACAAATGAGCACCTGGTGCAGGAGTTACCGTGGGTCCAACAGCACTGTGGGCTGTGGGAAGGTGTGACCAGCACAGGTCGAGCGCGTGGGGTTGTTCAGGGAAGGGGTGGGAGTAAGCACAATGCCACTTAACTTCAAGTTGTCTTTTGCTTGCCTTAAAAATAGTCTGTTCTGTGTCTGGCCGATACCGAAATCTCTATATATTGCCTGATGGGAAGGTAGTGCTCTGTCCTCCCTGTGCCTGGGGCACAGCACGGTGCACGTGTGGTGGTGGTGTTGGTGGTGGCAGCTGCTCCCTGGTCAGTGTCTGCAGTGAGGCTGCCCAGTCACACATGGGGATCCCTTTCTAAGAGGCAAAGAGCAGCTGCCCTCCTGCTGACCGTAGGGGATGGAGGAACGAGATGCACCGTGCTGCTCCAGGAGAGCTTTGCACCAGTCCTTTTAGCTGCTGAGGACAACGTTTCCCCTCTGCTCAGATGCTGTTGTAGTACCAATGCATAATTAAGATCTTACTTTTTAGTAAAATATTTAAACGAGCCAAACAGCCAACCTCCTACCCTGATTGCTACGACATCCCAGTTGGAGTCCCTGGTCCCAGGTGATCTTGGCTTTGCTTTGAGTTTGGCAGACTCTACAGCTGTCACGTTTGCTACAGCAGAGTGGACCTTGTCAGAGGTGAACTAGGTTTTGTTTTGCTTGGTTGGGTTTTTTTAGTAGTGGGGTTTTTTTGTTTGTTTGGTTTGGTTTGGTGGTTTTTGTTTTTTTTTTAACCTTTTTTCCTTCCTAAGGAGAATGGTGTGACAACCGTTGAGCTTTTGGCATGCAGAAAGCCAGTCTCAAAAATGGTGTTGCCAGGTGGTGCACTGAGTTCTGAAGACTTAGCAAGTCCTTCTGAGGCCTGCAGATCTCTTGAGTTTTTGTAGAGCTTCAACCCAACCAAAGCAAGCACATTTGGGGATATTTTTTTCCATGGTTTTATGCAAAGGCTTCAATAACTGAAGCCTTTGGTAAGTGTCTGTGACTTGTCACCGTGCCATACTTAGAGCAGTTTCAAAGCCCTATTTGTATATTGTGGTTTTTGTATGACTTAAAACATAATTTATTTCTCATATTGTACATATGTAAACATTTTTAAACATTTTGGTTTTAAGTAACAATTTTTATAAGCCTTAAGACAAAAAAATAAAGGGCTCTGTAAAAATAAATGAAGTCTTGTTATTGATCACAGAATTTTTTAGGTTGGAAAAGCCCTCCAAGATCATCAAGTCCAACCATCCCCCCAGCACTGCCAAGGCCACCACTAACCCATGTCCCCAAGTGCCACATCCACATGGCTTTTAAATCCCTGCAGGGATGGGGACTCACCCCTGCCCTGGGCAGCCTGCAGCCAGGTAGGTGCCCTTAGCCAGCACCTCCTCCTGACTCCTCCAGGCTGTGTTGCCAAGGTCAGATGGTTCTTTCCATGCACCCTCCACTGGCTGCCTCCTGTCACTCCCCATCTACTCCTGCTTTGTAGAGAGGCCCGTCATATATTGGGAGAGGGAAGCCAAAGACATCCTCCAAGGGCTGGAGCTCCTCTGCTCCGGAGCCAGGCTGGGACAGCTGGGGGGGGTTCACCTGGAGAAGAGAAGGATCCAGGGAGACCTGAGAGCCTCTTCCAGGGCCTAAAGGGGCTCTAGGAGAGCTGGAGAGGGACTTGGGACAAGGGATGGAGGGACAGGACAAGGGGCAATGGCTTCCCACTGCCAGAGGGCAGGGTTAGATGGGATATTGGGAAGGAATTGCTGTCTGTGAGGGTGGTGAGGCCCTGGCCCAGGTTTCCCAAAGAAGCTGTGGCTGTCCCTGGATTCCTGGAAGTGTTGAAGTCCAGGTTGGACACAGCTTGGAGCAACCTGTTCTAGTGGAAGTTGTCCTGCCCATGGCAGGGTGGAATGAGATGAACTTGAAGATCACCTCCAAACCAGACCTTCCTGTGATTACAGGTTTACTTCCAGCTTTAGCCCAGTAGTGAGGACATGATTTCAATACTACCAAAAGATCATCTTTTTTTTGGCAGAATGAATAATAGAAAATCAAAATCCTTCTCTGGGCTGCAGTAGAGGGGTGTTCTGGCTGCCCCTTCCCCGCAAAGGCCATAAACCACATTCAGCTGGGAGCTCTACCAAAGCCTTTTCTTCCCAACCTGTTTTCTTTCAGACATGGCAATACCACTACTGCTTTTGGCTGGGGGAAAAAAAGATTTTGTGTTACTTGCTCTCTATGGCTATTGCAGTGAACACAGTGGACTCTGGAATTGTTGCTGTGTCAGGCTAGTCAGGACAAGTTCAGACAAACTCCTTCTTCTCCTTTTATTTCCTGCATTAATGCTTTTTTCCTCCATTAAATGTCACTTATATTTTGCCTGAAATGCTTCACCTTTGTCTGACTTCACTAGCTAGCTCATTGGTGAATACTTTTAAGAAAACTTACCCGAATCTGGTAGCTAACTGAGTTTTCCCAGATTTTCCCAGCTTTTCCCAGCAGCCACATCACCAAATTTAAAGGGAAGCCTCTCATTGTACTCTGACTGTGCCTGACACAAATTGGTGGCACAAATCCAGCAGCAACAGAAGGACTCTGCAAACAAAGTAAACACCTCTGAGCTGAGGAAGATTTACATCAAATTACTTAGTTAACCTTTTCCTATGGAAAACCCAGCAATGCCTGGCTGTGAGGAAAACTGCCTTGGTGGATGTGGCAGAGAGATGTCTGATGTACTCTGCACCCCAGAAGTGGAGCTTTTTTCCTGATGTGTCCCTTCTTTCTGCTGTGTGTAAAGTGTGTGTGTGCGTGTGTGAGCTAATACCAGAAGTCATTCCAGATATCTGCAACTCATTTTTTGGCTACTGCCCCTTGGATACAGCTCCAGCACAAGGGCTGGTGCCTCTTTCAGGGTGAGCCTCCTGCAAGGACAAGCAGGAGCTGGCTTCTGAAGGAAAAGGTTGAAGAATACAAGCTCACAAGAGGGGAGAAACGGGCTGTAGCTCTTTCACATCCATGGGCATCCTCTTCAGATGTCTGGCCCTTCACACATCAAGTGTTGTTTCCCAAATGCACCACTCTTGCTGCTCCACATATTGAGGAATCACACCTCCTGGCACGTCAAGGTGCATCCCTGCACAGCTCCCTTAGTTGTGGACAAGGGGGAAAACAAACAGAGGAGGGCATTTTTTTGAAGTGTCCAGAGTATTTAGGGTATTTTTGAAGTCTCTAAACAACTTAGGACTGGCAGAGCGGGCACATCCCAAGTCTGCGTGAGGCAGGGCTGAGGCTGGACGTGCTGTGGGGCTGACCACTGTGCTCTCAGCTGCCTGGCATCCCTCCCCATCCCCCAGGCTTCTTTGGGGTCACTTTTTCACAGCCACTCCATTCAGCCCCATGAGTCAGGTCCCACCAAAGGTCAGGCTGTTCTCTGAGGAACAATAGGCCCAGCATGGGGAATGTTTTATAACCCCCCTCACCCCTGTCCGGGGCCATCCCAGCCTCACAGGCAGCAGCAACCAGGCACTGTTTCACCAAGTATCACAGAGTCAGAATCCCAGAATCCCAGAATGGTTGGGGTTGGAAAGGACCTTAAAGACCATCTGGTTCTCCCCCTGCCATGGGCAGGGACACCTTACACTAGAACAAGTTGCTCTGAGCCCCATCCAGCCTGGATTTCAACAGTTCCAGGGATCCAGGGACAGACACAGCTTCTCTGGGAAACTGGTACCAGGGCCTCACCACTCTCACAGCCAGGAATTCCTTCCCAATATCCCATCTAACCCTGCCCTCTGGCAGTGGGAAGCCGTTCCCCCTTCTCCTGTCCCTCCATCCCTTGTCCCAGGTCCCTCTCCAGCTCTCCTGGAGCTTCTTTAGGCACTGGAAGGGGATCTCAGGTCTCCTTGGATCCTTCTCTTCTGCAGGTGAACACACCCAGCTCTCCCAGCCTGTCAAGCACACCCCAGAATCCCTCTTTAGGAGGCGTGTTGAACACAAAGTCCATTTGGAGTTTTCTGCTCTCTCATTTCCCAGGGTGACAGCCCCCTTTGGCAGCACTGAAAGGTGGATCAGCAGAGGACCCCAGTGCAGCAGGTGCCAGCTGTCTCACGTTGCTTCCAAACTACAAAAATCTGGGCAGAAAAAATTGGTTTGGGAAGAAAAAGACCAGACCAGCCTTTCAGGAACGAGGACATCACACTCTTTGCTGGCTTCCCATACTGAAACAACAACCCAGCCCCACTCCACCAGGTAAATATTTTCAGTGGTCCCCAAGAGCAGCCTCTCCAAGACATGACTGTGACCGTCCAGGAAACCCAAGATCTCGCTCCTCAGCCTGTGATAACGAGTTGTAATTTCACGCCTGTTCTGATGCTGGCATTCCAACATAAATTATACAGTTCATTGCCTTCCCAGCAATCCCGTCCAGCCCAGCAGCAAACACAAAGGATCCGGCAACTTCTGCAGGTCCGTGTAAGAGCATCAGAGACCTCAACTGCCCAGAGGGATGGGTAAAGCAGCTTGACCCAGAGCTGACCCAAGTTTAAAGCTAAAAATCAGATCATTTTTTATTGCTCGATTATTGGCTTTTCCTATCTCTGTCCTTTCTGTTCCACGTTGTCTTGCAGCTGTTTCACAAAGCTTCGGGATATTTATGGCAATCCATATAAAGAAGACAAAAAGTGCACACATTCAGAATCCTTTTCTTCTGACCTGACGTGCAATAACATTGAAAAATGAGAAAAATGGACCAATAAAACAGGCTTTCCAGGCCATGGTGTTCCACCTTTGCTTATTACTGCAAACAGGCAAACCAGCTCAGACAAAGTAAGAAATGACACGAGACTTGGACCAAACCTCAGTGCAAATATGGTTGTCTTTTTTTTTTCCTCCTTTCCTTTCCATATCCTGTTTTTGGCTGAAAACAGATGTATCCTACTAAGCTCTGAAGAGAAAGGCCACACCAGCTTAGCTGGAGCTAAGCAAGGGTACTGAAATAATCATACTCCCCTGTCATAAAATCTGCAGATGTTAATGAGAAGAAGAGCCTTGCTCTGCAGATCTCTGTGAAACAGCCAAATCTGTCGGTTCTTTGAATAACCCATTAAAGAAACATCCATGGAAAAGCTGGGTTGTACTTTATTCATGCATTGCCATGGAGGGAACATCCAATGATCTCAAAATCAGCTGGATAATAAAGCTTAAAATTTCTCTCTAAATTCCAGATCAGTGGATCTGTGTGATTTGCAGAGGACCAAGGTTATTCAAGAACCTTGCTGCTCTCTTTACAAATAGTTTATTAGTGTTGTCTTTATTGCTGAGGAACACAAATCTGTTCAAACACAACAAAATCAACCCATAGTATGAGAAGATTAATAGATTTGCCTTAAAAACACTCCACAAGCCAGTGAGAGAGACAAAACCCAGATGCCTTCACCTTGGATAACAGCTCAGCACACACACCAGAACAGTTCATGGTCTTCTCTCCTGAGCAATCCTCATGCAAAAAAAAAATAGTTGAGGAGTTTATTTTGCTTACTAAATATTTCTTCTAATAGTTCAGCCTGGTCTGACACGGTCTAATCCACATATAATATGCCAGCAGGTAAAAGAAATTGAAAATTAGAAAGGAGAGAAGGGCCGTGGAGATGCTCCAAGGGCTGGAGCCCCTCTGCTCTGAAGCCAGGCTGGGAGAGTTGGGGGGGTTCACCTGGAGAAGAGAAGGCTCCAGGGAGACCTGAGAACCCCTTCCAGTGACTAAAGGGGCTCCAGGAGAGCTGCAGAGGGACTTGGGATAGGGGATGGAAGGACAGGACAAGGGGCAGTGGCTTCCCACTGCCAGAGGGCAGGGTTAGATGGGATATTGGGCAGGAATTGCTGTCTGTGAGGGTGGTGAGGCCCTGGCCCAGGTTTCCCAGAGAAACTCTGTCTGCCCCTGGATCCCTGGAAGTGTTGAAGTCCAGGTTGGACATGGCTTGGAGCAACCATGTCTAGTGGAAGGTGTCCCTGCCCATGGCAGAAGGTGGGATGAGATGATCTTTCAGGACTCTGTAACACTCCTGATGGCTGTTATGGTAGAACATCTATCCCCAGGAGAGCAGCAGCACGTTTACTGTACATAATCCCCTTAATGATTTCCCCAGCCAAAGCCAAAGGAGCTAAAGCTGCAACAGCAGGGATATGACAC